AGTGTGCTCCCCTCAGTTCTCAATGTTCCAGGGGTGACCCCCATGTGGGCTACGTGTGTCCTTTTGTTGTGGCATGTTTGCTTTCCCTGTAGGCACCCAGGGAGGCTGAGTTATGCTCCTGGCCAGCTGTTGTAATGCTCAGCTGCTTGTAGTTGTTGTGGGCCCTTCAGTCTCTATATCAGATGTGGGGAGACCCAGCACAGTTGGCTGCAAGTTCTAATACCGCATTTGTGTTGCAGTATTTCTTGTAAGTGAATAGGCCCCCAGTGTGGCAGGTTGTTAGGCTCAGGGGCTTACAATTGCTATAAGCCTCCAGCCTTTAGGTCTCTTGTCAGCTCTCTGAGGATTGCAGCTGGGTGGGGCTGGCCTCAGGCACGGGACCACCCAATTGTTTCAAGCTTTGGAAGGTGGGGCAAACCCCCTATGTGGGTCTTTGAGAAGCACAAGTCTACAGCTGACAAGCCCTGCCGCCCACAGGTCCCCACACACAGTCAACACAGTCCTGCCCTGTGTGCGCGCCCTGACCACCTGAAGTGGACCCAGTCTCTCCACGGCGGGAGCCCCACACACTCCACCACTACCCCACACTCTCCACCTGCTCCGTGTGCACACCCTGCCCCACTGAAGCCAGCTCAGTTGCCAGGCTGCAGAGAATCCAGTCACCAATCTATGCAGGCCCACAAGTTGCCCGAGGGCTTGTTGTTGGGTGGGGCCAGTCTCTAGGGTGGGCTGCCTGCCCTGGCTGAGCTGGATTAAATTGGTGCTCTAGTGGGTGGGGCAGACCTGGGCTAGCAGCCCCAGGGAGAACTCCAATGGCGTCTGCGTCAGCATGTCCACACCAGGCCACAACAATGGCCGCTGCCAATGTCCCAGTCCCTGGAGACGTCTCACCTCTCACTGCAATGCACTCAGAGCCTATCAGGTGAGTCTCTTTTCACCAAAGCACTGTGCACCTTTCTTTCTGCTGATTTTAGGTTGCTTTCTGAAACGAGTGAGTTTGCGCATGGGCCCTTTAAGAGCCGGTTTTAATTTCTTTGTGAACCAGCTTTTCTTGGGGTACTCCCCAATGCTTTAGTAGCCAGCAAAGTCAGATATTAGCCACTCATCTCGATTGTGCTGGGTCCACAAAATGCCCCCAGTGGGAGTGCTCCCGGCTCAGGGCCCCGCTCCTCCAGGGCGGCTGCGGACCTGTGCGCTGCTCCCAGGCAGCTGTGAAGCTGGCGGCTTGTGAAAGTGGCGTTTTTCTTCTCCAGAAGGGAGTTTCTGCCTCTTCCACCTCAATTAGGATTGTCCTTAGTTGCAGGAGTTCCTCTTATCCAGTTTTCAGTTCTATCTCAGGTGTAATTTTTCCTCAAGTAGTTGTAAATTGGCTGTGTCCGCAGGAGGAAGTGAGCTCAGAGTCTGCTTACCCCGCCATCTTGACTTCTCCCCTGGTGATCCCACTTTTAATTGACCTCTCTACAATTGATTAGCTTTCTTTGAATTGGTTTTAGCTTCTGTAATACTGATGGAGGTTTTTTTAGTTTAATCCAAATATAACACAGGTCTAACATTTGCCAAAAAGATATTCTTCCACTTTCTTCCAGTCTTTCTATATCATGAGGATCGTAGAGTTTATGTTCTACAGTTTGACTCTCTCTACCTGGAGTCACAGAGTGTTTAAGACATTCCCTCCAGTTAAGAGGTCATTTATGCATTTGAGAAAGGAAAATTCTTTGTCAAATACCATCATTAATGAAGCATAAATATTTGTACACATCCAGTAGGGCAAGACACCAATCATCCAAATAATTGAGATACTCATGTGGTGTTTATTGTTGTTGTTTGTATTACCATAAGTATTTGCCAAAAATTATCCATCTCACTTTAATACAAAACAAACAAAATCAATGTTTATCAAATACCCCTCTGCTGAATAAGAAGAATTGGTTTACTGGTTCTCTATTCTATCTGCTTTCTCTGTGGTAGAGACTGGAAAACTAAAAATTGTATTTCCAACTCCCTTACAGCTAGGGTTCTAGATACCAGGCAGAGTTTAACCAACAAGATCCACTCATGCATGATCCAGAAGATGGAAGTAGCAAGGAGGCCAATGATTTATTTCATTGCTGTTTTTGTGGGCAATCACAGCCAGAGACATTGAGTCTTTCAAATACGGTGCTCCAGTGCCCAGCTGCAGCCATGGGGATGCCCAATAGCAGTTGTAAGGGTGCTGTGGTGGCCTTGTGATTCCTGCCCCTTGACTGTGGCAGAAGGAGAAGACTGGCAATTTCCTCATTATAGCTCTGCAGGTCATTCCTGGAGGACCTGCCTAGAAGCTACTCTTTTCTTGTTTTGAATTCTTTTTCTTCTTCAAATAGCTAGATTTTTGTTTCTTATAACTGTATTGACTGATACTGACTCAGGAAGAACAGCTTAGAAAAGAGCAGCTGAGGTGTATTTAAGATAAATTAGAAAATTCCAATTATATTTGAAAGCATTTCTAAGAAATTCAGCCATTGAGATTCAAACTTTGTTGTAACTCCAGCACTTAGTGGATGGGTGATAACTGATGTATCATGCTGATAGGAAGTATGGCAAGATGCAAAGAGTAGGGCCTTTGAAGTCAGACAGAAGCACAGTCTAGTGGGTTCCCAGTTAGAGCTATAGTTTCCAGACAGGCTGGCAAAAGAAAGGTAACAAAATTAAGGAAGAAACTTAATCCTTAGATAAAGATAAAAGTCCCATAATCATCGCTGGAGTTTAGTGTCCTGTGGCTGGAAAGGTAACCCATGCTAAGCTAGACCAGGTAGATAGACTCATAGCATAGTAAAGAGTCCAGCCTTTGGAAGGCAATAGTCCTAAGGTCTTCCATCAACTTTGTTAGTCAACAACTGCATGACCTTCAGCCTTTTTCTTAGTCTCCGAGCTTCAGTTTCCACAACTGTAAAATGTGGATGTTAACACATTGTTCACAGAGTTGCTTTATTAGAAATAAAGAAGGCAAAGCACCTATAATGCCTGACACATAAGAGGTATTCAAAAGTGATAATGAACTATTATTCCCTCAGCTTTAAATCTAATAGTGAATCCAGCCTTATTCACAGAAGCAGAAATAAAATATGAGAATTGAAAGTGAAGAGAGCAAAAAGGATGAATAGCAAGAGATAGAACCAGAAGGGCTAATGCTGTCCCATAGGCCCTGAGACACAAGGAAAAAGGAAACATCCTCCTATGGTGAGAAGAAAGGAAATAAAGTAGTCTGGAGCCACGAGGAATCTGGGATAGGGCCCTCCTGCTGCATTAGCGCTGGGTGACTGTGAAAACATGAGGTCGGCTCTCAGCAGTAGAGGCATGCATAGTGGTTTCTATTATCATTCTCTGTTTTCACTCAAAACTTGCCAAAGAATTTCTTTTGAGGTGAAATTCTCTAGTATTTTCTACAGCTCAATCTGATTATTTGAAGTAGCATTGGAAGAAAGTAAAGACATACTTGTTATTAGAACACAAGGAGGTAGGAGAAGAGACACAAAATTATAAGACGCCCCTTGTATAAAGTTAACCATGTTAGATTGTCCATATAAATCACTAAAAAGAAGTTGCATTTTTTTTGTTGAAATTCAGCATGTGAAAGAGCTTCACAATGAGCAGTTTTGTGTTCATTTTAAAGTTCCGAGTATGGACAATACTAACTAAAACACATATAATGTGAGCTCCATGAGGGTAGCAACCATATTCTCTGCTTATTTGCTCCAGCATGACTTAATGTACATTGCATCCACAGTCTGCATGCATGGTTTCTACAGCCAACACAGCACAAAACTAACTGGCTCATTCAGTTAAATCAATCAAACTATTGGTCAGGTCAGTGAAACAAAAGCACAATTGTTTTACCATACAAATCAAACTTATTTGTGTATAGACAGACCTAGAATATTTAGTTAATTTAATTTCCATCATTTTAAAAACCATGTCAAAAGCATAGCGTACACATGATTATTATAAACTCTTTAAATGTGGATTCAACTATACTTTTATGAATGACTAACCATGTTCCATAAAGTTTAATCTGTCTGGTGCCGTTTTTTTCAAGTTCAATCTTCATCTGGTGCCATTTTTCTTTAAGAAGGTTTACCTTGGTCAGACGGAGGTAGGTATGAAAAGTACAACTGTCTTGAGCTTGGCTCAGAAGTATGAAGCTCCCTGGGGAAGCCATGAGCTCCAGACACTTCGGGAGACATCAGCAAGCTATACGGGTGATAAGGATACAACCTGGAGGTCCAGCTTAATTCAGAATGTGGTTCCATGCAGATATTGAACAGATTAGGAATCTGGGAACGAGGCACTAATATTGAACTGTGATGGCATTAAGTACCTGGTTACTGGTACTCTTCAGATCAGCAAGCCCACTGAGACAACTGGAAGGTGCTATAAAATCTCCTCCACTCTTAGAGGCCAAGCCCATTTAGAACCCTGTGTTGCTTATTGACATCAAGTTCAAGCCCCCAAGACAACTTCCGGCTAATGATTTCCACTTCCACCAGGTGGAAACAGTAGACCTTTCCCTTTCTCAAGCTAAGGCTTCTCTCCAGCATGCGGGCAGTTCCAGTTCACCGTTTCCCACAAACCACTGCCTGCTTCATAGACCCTTGTGGTATGGAGTGCATCTGTAAGAATCCCACAGAATCTGATATAGCCATTTTAAGCAAGGATCTCCACCAGTTTCTTCCCAGGGCTCCTACCCTGGCCTCCTCCCAGGGTATTGGCGGCCAACAGATCTTATGTGCAATTCACACTATCCCCTCAGTCAGTCTGCACAATAAGATGGCTGGCCTACAGACTATCCTGGTGGTGATGCAGTTATGTGTCGTCTGTAGTACAGACTCCCATGCCTGCAGATGGGTCTACTGCAGCCACTGCTTTCTCAATTCATTGGGAAAGATGGCAAAAATGCTACCATGATGATGGTTCTTTTCCTGGTCCTTCCCTCCCTCCATCTGTTCTCTTTTCAAGTTTCCTTATCACTTTTCTCTTTTAACTTTCCAACCTATTCTAAAATCCATTTTGCATCTTAATACTACGGTAATACTCTAAAATCTATTGCTTTCATCTGATTCTGCCCTGCTCGACATTTTTACCTAAACTTTAGGTCCATTAAGCATTAGTTTTCAGAGTACATATACCACTGAAGTTGTAATTTGATTTGAGACTAAAGAGAATAATAAAAATAATAGTAATACATTTACTGCATTCTGGACAAGTACTTTACATGTGCAAAGATGGTATAGAATAATGATTGGATTTTTTTTGTGTGTGTGTGAGAAAGATCAGCCCTGAGCTAACATCCATGCCAATCCTCGTCTTTTTGCTGAGGAAGACCGGCTCTGAGCTAACATCTGTTGCCAATCCCCCTGCGTTTTTTTCCACAAAGCCCCAGTAGATAGTTGTATGTCATAGTTACACATCCTTCTAGTTGCTGTATGTGGGACGTGGCCTCAGCATGGCCGGAGAAGCAGTGCCTCGGTGTGTGCCCGGGATCCGAACCTGGGCCACCAGCAGTGGAGCGCGAGCACTTAACCACTAAGCCACAGGGCCGGCCCTAGAATAGTGATTAAAAGCACCAAGTTACTATCAGCCAACATAGATTTAAATCCCTGTTTGGGCACCTTACTAGCTTTATAATCTCGGCAAATTAATATTTCAAAGGCTTTCAATTTTCTGTCTATACAATGGAAATACTGCTAGTCCCTACCCCAGGGATATTTTGAGGATGAGCTGCGATATTGCATGTAAAACTCTTAGCGAACGTCTGGCACTTAGTAAACAAGAAATGCAGCACGTTAGCTGTTACTGATGCTAGCATTTTCTTTTCATCTAATGAAATTGATCACTGTAACCCCATTATAGGGATGAAGAAACTAGAGGCTCAGAGAAGCTAAGTAACTTGTCCAGGATCATAAAGCTGGAAATTACCTGACGATAGTTTTTCCCAGATCTGGTTACAGAACCTGGGCTCTGACACAGCATGCTGGTGGTTCTTGCCTCGTGTTCTTTAAAACTACAGATGCCCAGGTGTGCCCAGGGGGATTCACATTCATGGGTCTGCTGTGGCTGCTCTAGGTGATTTTTTATGATTATTTTCTAGTTTCACAGATAATTTTGATGACAGCTAAAGAAAGTACATTGCTTCTCACCTGTAATAGAGCAGCAAAGCCTTTCTCACGATGCTGTGATCGGGATAAAATGAAACAAGTATATGAAGCCCACTTATAAAGGATTAATCTCTTTTAACAGCTGCTGCATGTCAAGAGCTGTTATTTCTCTAATTAATAAAAGAAAGGGCAAATATAATTCTTAAGGATAGATGCCTCAAAGGAAATTCTTGCTTGTTGGGCAAAAAACATTGCACCTGACTCAAGGAAAGCTCATAGGAGACCTCTGAGCAGATGAAGCGGTTTTATGTAAGTTGTATTCAAACTCTGAAAGAAAATTCAGGAATTTTTTTTGAAGATGTTAAAAATTAATTGCTCCCTGGAGCAGAAAAGGACTCTGAATCTCTGGAATGAGTCACACAATGCTGCCAGCTGAATTTCTCCATCAGAAACTGGCAGCTTCTTTTGACTCTGCTCTCTCCTCACATCCAGCACCATTAGTCACTGTACCTCTTTTAATCCAACCCATCTTTCTCTCTCCTTTCCCACTGTTTCTACTCTAAATCAAGCATTCGTTAACTTCTCTCCAGGAATATTTTAATAGTTTCCCACCGTGCTCCTGAACCCGTCATTTCTACACACATACCATTGTTACTGAACCAGGTTCATTTTGCCCACTACATGATTATGCCAATCACCAAGACAATGAGTTTGCAAAGAGAAAGGATTTAATCACATGGCAGCCAAACAAGGAGGCGAGAGAATAAATCATAGATCCACCTACCTGAAAATGGGAACTCAGGGATATTTATCAGGTAGGGGGCAAGGCGGTCTGAAGTATGGGAATAGATGATTGGAGGCAAGGAGAAGTGAGGTAATTGACGATCTGCACAAGTGTAGTCAAGCTTCGTGCCTCTTCATAGGATGCACGTTCACAAAATGGCGGTGTGACCATGATCTGAGGGTGGAGTTTTTAGCTCTTTGACATCAAAAAGGTCATTTGGCAAGCGTTTGCTCAGGCCCAGTTGATAGGTTGGTGGTCTGAACTGGTCAAGGGGTCTCAGTTCCTGAAAAGCCACTCTTAACTACTCTGTTAATAAGATGGGGTCAGCTAAACTGGTCCTGTAGGGCCTGTAGTTACACCATAGCCCTGTTTAAAATTCTTTTTCCCTACTGAAGTTGTGCCTCCTTACTTTGCCAGTCAACAATGTCCACGATCTGTCTCTAGCACTAACTTTCCAGGTCTCTCTTCCCCACATCCCAGGCATTCTCCCCTCTCTGCCTTTACCAGTATTTTTACAATCTCTTCCACCTTTTCAGTTCTCTGCCACCTTTCCACATGTTCAAGTTTTCTCCTGCTCTCAAGGTGGACTTCTGTTGATGCAAAATAACCAATAACCATTCTATAGATAAGAGAAATAAGGTGAGTTTTACTTGAGCCAGAGTGGGGATTATAACCCAGGAAGGCCTTAGAGAGTGTTCCAGAGAAGCATGGTTTTCAGTACAGTCTTATATCTTTTTAGGACAAAGAACATACATTAAACACACCCAGGAACATTTTCATCAAAGTTTCAAAGAGATATTTAGTTGCAAATTAGCAGGTCAACACGACCCTGATGTCAAGAATGGGACTAATCCCAGCGTTACCAATAGGGTGTTACCAATAGGGCATAAGAGGGGAAGTATGCATTCTTATCCTAAGAGAGTGCATTCTTTACTTTAATGGTTACGCAGATGTACAATGTATGTTTGATAGGCCATAAGTTAGGCTTTTTAGTTCAACCTGAATCAGTTTTGAACCCGAATAGTTACCCCAATATACTTTAGTATGTGAAAATCTCTTGTCATTTCCAAGGCCATTTTCTCCATAATTGTCCTGGTTTCTGCAAGTAAATGTGATTTCTCCCACCCATGAACTCATGTGCCATGTTATTTATACATTTCTACAAATTTTATGGCACTGTAGGAGAGGAGTAATTCTCCGTGATAGATTCTCCAGCTTGAGGCCCTGTAAATTAGATAGGTCAAAGACAGTTAACAAGAGGAAAAAAAAAGTTTATTAATATTTGCATCATGAATGTACACATGGGAGCACCCAACAAAGAGTAACCCAAAGGGATTATTAGCACTTGGGCTTATCTTAAGATAAGCAAAGGTGAAGGGGTTTTGGGCTTCTGAGCAAGGGAGGTAGTTTAGGAAAGGTGACCAGGGAAAGTATGGTAAACAAGGGTTATGTTTAGTAAGGTTTGTTATGAAAATTTAAGTACATGCCTTCTCCATTGATAAGAGTTGTTAAGAGCTCTCTTCTTGATACTGGAGAGGGAGATATCTCTACAACTGGAAATTTCCTTTACAAAAGGAATACTTGTGCCCTGTTTTTAGGGCTTTTCCTACTTCTGCTGGTTCTCAATGGCCTTTAGCTCAAAATAATCCATAAGCCCAAGAGGCATATTTTGGCGTAGCATATTCTGGTACCCTTCAGCACACGTAATTCATTACCTTGTATCTGCAAACACCTAATCTTGCCTAACATTACTATATTTGGATTGTCCTAACACAGATTAAACTTGGGATCTTTCCCCTTTCTGCCTCAGCAAGAAAGATGCTTCAAAAGGGGGAAAAGAATAGGAAAAATAAATGAGGCTCACCTCTTTTAGAAGAGGCTGTGGGTGGCTGAGGTGGGGTGTAATGTGTAAACACCAATTCATCATTCCTACCCTCAGGAGAGAAAAGCATTTGCAATCACTGAAAGTTGCTTTACTTAACAAAGATTGGTGTGACTGGGTGGCCCTGTTGTCCTTGGAAAGAAAGCAAAACAAAGCCTTTTATATTTCTTATATTAAAATAAGAGCAGCCCCAGAAGTAGGAGAGTTGGTTCTGAGCCCAGGAGTTGGCAGATGCTCATCTCTGTCCTGATCCACCCTCTAAAGCTGTTGAAAGGGAGTTAGAATATGCCACCCCAAAATATGCCTCTTTGGCATATGGATTATTTTGAGCTGATTATTTTTGAGAAACAGCAGACGCAGGAGAATCTCTGAAAACAGAGTCGAAGTTTCCCTTTTGTAAGGGACATTTACATTTAGGAAATCTCCATTTGTAAGGGTGTCTCCCTCTCTGTACCAGGAAGAGAAGGATGACTCTAAATCTCCAGAAACTCTTATCAACGGAGAAGGTAATAATCTGAGTCTGCATAACAAACCTTACCCTTATTTCCATGCTTTTCATGGTAGTCTCCCATAACTAGCCTCCCCTCCAAAACATCTTTTTTTTGTCTTTAGCTGGAGATGGTATTTAAGGTGGTGGTTTGGGCCATTTGGGGTAGCATTGTTAGTGCACAAAATTGGGGTTCACTTGCCTGAAGCACATAAACAAGCCAATTAATTATGACCTCAGCTTTTGGGAGAGAAATCAGCCTTATTCCGTGAGATGCATCTGCAGAAAGGACAGGGGGCATGTGCCCTCAGATCTGTCTCCCCAGTTCAGGATTTGGGGAAAAATTTAAGAGGTTAGGGAGAACAGAATGGTACATGGAAATGCTGGTGGGACAGGTTTTGATTGGTGGGCTTCAAGCATTTACGGTAAAGTTTTAAACATTTATGACAGGGTTCTAAACATTTATGATAGGATTCTAAACATTTTGGATGAGGTGGAGAAGGAATTTTAACATCGGATCTTCCTGAATGAGGAACGCTTGGTTTCTGATAAGAGTCCAATTTTCAAGTTCCCTCCTTAGGAAGGAGGATCTTTGTTTCTGTGGTCATTTCAGGTCAAAATTTCTTCTTTTGCACATGCTCTGGCTATGTGACTTTGCAGATTTTCTGAAAGACAGTTCTTAATCACTTTGTTGATAAGAGATGGGGTCAGTTGAACTGGTCCTTGAGGGCCTGAGGTTACAAATCCCCCTTTTTGTTTTTAATTCCTCAATCTTGAGGGACATAGGGTGATGACTGCTCTAGCTTCTTCCTGCTGATAAGTGGGGGCATAACTTGTTCCATCTCATTGAACCAGTCTCTTAGTATGATGGTGATGCAGGTAGGCTTCCAAAGTTACACCTATATTGTGTAAGCATGTAACAGGTATTTAATAAGAAGCATTTCTGGTAAGGTTGCTGGGAACCTTGTAAGCAAGGTACCAGGCCAATATTTCCAAGAGGCTTTATTCCCTACAGTTTTACTCAGCTTTCTTGGGTATCTCCCATGTGTACAGAAGGTATACATGTTATTAAACTTCCATTTGTTTTTCTTCTGTTAATCTTTTATTACAGAAGGGGTCTCAGCCAGGAACCACAAAGGGTGGAGAGAAAATTATTTTTCTTCCACACTGTTCTGTGGCCTGGCAAGTGACTGTGCCAGTGAAGTGAAAGAAAAATGGTTTTAAAAACGCATCATCCCAATGCACCTGACAGCACCCTTAACAGAGGACCCAGCTTAGCCCCTGGTAACCCTGTCCTGGAGCTGCAGGAGAAGATGGGCCTTAGCATCCCTGGGGACCTCAGACTTTGCACATTAGAATTGCTAATCTCAGGCACCTAGTGGTCATTCCCAAGGTGAACATTGGGAGTCTATCTCTGAGTGTTTAGCCCTAGGGGACCTCTGGAAAGGGGATTATTTTGCAGTTGCTGCTACTCCTAATGGGTAAGGAGAGAAGTGTCAATCATCTTATTCTGTGGTGGATTAGAACCCAGTAGTAATAATCATGAAATGTTGAGAGGCAAGGGCCACCCCAGTTACAATAATAAAACTGCTATCTCATTCAGGGAAGTCAATAGCATGTTATGTACCAAGTGTTAGTGCTTACTGAATAAAAGTTACATAGTTATGTTTTGGTAATTGATGTTTTACTGTATTGGATATGCATTTCATCTCACTTGGATTTTTTTCTAATAGATATAGTGTGAAAATTACAGGCTTTGTATAATAAGACATTGCAAAAGTTCTTTTTGATGACTCTAAAATATTATTTATACATTCTTTTAATAAAAATGTATAAACTCCTAATATACATATAAAGAAACATGCTAGATACTAGAGTAATAGTGATGAAAAGCCACAGCCCCTGTGCCTAAGAAACTTACAATATATTTAGAAAAATATTCACTATTCACACTTCTATAAATGCAACTTCTATTTATTTAGTTAAAAAAAAGCATAATGAGTGTCTACCTGTCTATCCAACACCTAGCTAGGCAGTGGGTGACACAGTCCTGCCCTCAACTTATGTATTAAATTTTTTCTTTACTTATTCAATAGCTCACTATAAATCATGATGAGCACTATAAAGAAAACAAATAAGGTAAAGTAATAGAAAATAACCTTCTTATTGTGATTGGTGAGGGAAGATCTCCATGAAGAGGTGAGGTTTCAGCTGAGTAACGACGGTTAAGAAGTAATCATTTAAGAGAAATTTGGTCCAGACAGAGAGAATGTTACTGAACCAGGTTCATTTTTGCCTGTCGCCCAGAAAGCCAAACACCAAGACGAGGAGATTACAGCAGAGAGACGGTTTTAATCACAAGGCAACCAATCAAGGAAGTGGGAGAATGAGTCTCAAATCCACCTCCTTGAAAACAGGAACTCAGGGATATTCACGGGGTAGGGGGCAAGGTGGTCTGGAGTGTGGAGATAGATGATTGGAGGTGAGGAGAGGTGAGGTAATTGATGATCTGTGCAAGCGTAGTCAAACTTTATGCCTCTTCATAGGACGCATGTTCACAAAATGGTGGTGTTAGCATGATCTGAGGGTGGAGTTTTCAGCCTCCTGATGTCAAAATGTCACTATCGGGCATCTGTCTGGGCCCAGTTGATGAGCTGGTGGTCTCAACCAGCCTGAACTGGACAATGGGGTCCTAATTCCTGAAAAATAGCTCAAACACCCATTTTACCATGGTGTTACCAGGCACCAGGAAGATATTATCTATAGGAACCTAGTGGGAGTCAGCATATTGCCTAAGCAGCACTTAACAACTGCTGGGCGGGTAAACAACTAAAAGCTATAATCAGTAGTTGCAGAAAAGAAGCAAAACTTTAGTTACTAGCTACCTAATCATCAATTGCTGTTTACTGGTTTCAAGAACAGTGTGTGGAAGGCTCTAAGGTAAGACATTCCTTCTAGACAGATTGGAAAAGATATTATAAGGGCATAAACTATTACAGTGATAAAAATTTTAAATGTATTCTTTTCAACAAGTATCTAGTGTGTGAGTACAATGAACTGGAGATACAGTGATGAATGCAGATGCAAAAAGTTTCTGCTCTCCTGGAACTTATAATCAGATGAGAAAGACAGACACTGAGCATGCAATTATAGGTGTGGTGAGGACCATGTGATAGGGTAATAGTGGCATCTGTAGTAAGTGGATTTTACCAAGCCTAGAAGGACTGAGAGAGTCCTTTCTGAGACTTTTTAAAAAGGTTTTAAAAGATAAGTAGGCATTTTCTAGGTCGAGTGTTGAAGACTCAAGGGACCGTCCAAGAAGAGGGAACAACCTAGATCTTTTGGTAAAGGTTCTCTGGAGGTGGGGACAGGTATATTGGTTACTTCAGAGAAAGGATTTACAGGAGTAGATGGGCAGTTTAGACTTGATGGGTGATAGAGAAAGAGGTATTGATACATTAAATATAAAACAAAAGTGAGAAATTGCTAGTCGTGCTGGAAAAAGAAATGAGTTGAAGTACCTTTGAGCCTGATGGGCCATTAGTTTTCTCTGAAAACCTTTGTGTAAGAATTAGTCTTTTTATTCTTATCATCATGTTACTATTTTATACTCAACATCTCTCTTCTACCTCTGAAAGCATGCTATTAACAATGCATTTGAAATCTTTTCAAAATTGCTGTCAATAGGGCATTTGGGTTTCTTTCCAAAGATACACGTTTTGTTTCTTTTCAGTCGGAGTTGATATTTCCTTGTGGAGAGAAAGTGGATCAGACTTTATGAGAACTGAAGTATGTTACAAAACAGCTACACGTTTCCCTCCAAAGGCTTCTAAAGTAATTTTGAACTCAGAACATTTCTGATTTTCCTTTTCTGTCCACAATATCGGGCATGCATGAGAGCAAGAAAAAGGTTGCAAAAAGCAAAGGCATTCCTTCACGTAAAAGCACAATTTATGGGAAAGAAAGACTAAAATATTTTTCTAGAAGCTTTACCAAATGATGGGAAGTCCATATGATTATTAATCATGTTTTAACCATTGTGACACTGGATTAGATTGTCAAAATACTTTAGTTTTATGATTTCAGAAATTGCTGTTTTAAATATATTTTTATGACATGACAAATGGTCCCATGATCTATGGAACATACAATTATATGGAAGTTATATTAGTACAGCTAAATGCAGCTTGTAAAAGTAATGTATAGAAATCCTAACCCCAGTGACTCCTTGGCTTTAAAACCATCCTATCTTCCCTGGTAGACCTGTTACTTTCTGTACTCAGCCCTTCAATACAGCAGTTTTAATTAATTATACTTACTGTTCACATGCCCATCTCCTTCACTAAACTGGGTGACTCAGAGGCAGGGAATGTTTATTATTTGTCTTTCTAACCACAGGACTTTAGATATAGTAGATGCTTGAAAATATATTTCTGCAGGAACAAATATTAGGGTAGTTATTAAGACATACTATTGAGATTATCAAAGATTGGACCTTTGTCTTAATGGCACGTATAAAACTTTAAAGGAGATGTTCTTTTAGAAATACTCTCCCTTCGCAACTAAGCTAACACCCAAATACCCCCTCGGCACTTTGACACCTACTTCTTGTAAATGTTTTCCTTCCGTGCATGTATTCACTCTCATAATCCAGTGAGTCTAAGAAACACAGCCATGTTTAAACATCTGGGATTCATCAGGCTGGTTCTGTTAATCAAAGTTCTAGAGATTAGTTCCAGATGTTGCCTAACTAAAGTTACATAAGCATTGTTCACATTTTTAACTATAATCAGACCTAACTTCCCATATCTTGAAAGTAACTTAATTTGTATAGGTAGGAGTTTCACTCTGCACTATTTTTTTTAAATTAACTCTCAACTTAATACAGAGATAAGGCTGATATATTTGCCCTAGAAGTGAATAAATATCAATAAATATTCAAGATATATTTTTGGGAATCATACATTTAATCACATTAGCTCAAAGATGCCATAAGGAAAGAAAAATTAATACTATCCATGTGTTCATTATGTGCTGGTATAGGGGAGGAAAAATAACTTTCTCTCTATTCTTCTAGGTTCTTGGCTGAGACTTCCCTGTAATAACATATAGATTAATAGGAAAAAAACAAACAAAAGTTTAATAACCTGTATTCCTCCTGTATACATGGGAGAGACACAAGAAAACTGAGTAACTGCCCAAAATGGCCCAAGCCACCACCTTAAATACTTTCTCCAGCTAAAGACAAAAGAAGATGTTGGTATTGGAGGAGGAAGCCATTTATGGGAGGTTATCAGGCAAAGCAAAGTAAATAAGGGTAAGGTTGTTATGAGGATTTAAGTCATTGCCTTCTCCACTGATGAGTTTCTAGAGAATTGGTTATCCTTCTCTTCCTGGTACAGAGAGGGAGACACCCTTACTAATGGAGATTTCCCTTATAAATATGAATGTCTCTTAAAAAAGGGTAACTTCTACTGATTTTCAGAGCTTCTCTTGTATCTACTGTATCCAGCTCAAGATAATCCATAGGCCAAAGAGGCATATTTTGGAGTGGCATATTCTGTTCCCCTTCAGTCCTGCCTTTGAAACTTCCCCAAGAAGCTTCACAGTCTAAGAGTTGAGTTGATAGATTGCTCCATATTGAACCAGTCTCTTAGTATTGGAAATAGGTCAGTTCAGTTAAACAGTTGTGTCTCATTTCAGGACACAACTCAGCCCTCTTGCAGGTCAGCTCCCAAAGTTAGACCTATATGGTACAAGCAGTCAGGTATTTAATAAAAGGCATTTCAATGGAAACAAAAGAAAAGTAAA